GGAGCCCGATGTGGGACTCGATCCCGGGACTCCAGGATCATGACCTGAGCCGAAGGCAGTCGCTTAACCAACTGAGCCACCCAGGCGCCCGAAAAGCCTCTTGTTTTGTTTTTGAAGATTAATAAGTTTAATTATCTAGAATAAATTTTTCTCCTCAATATAATAACATATCCTTGTTGTAATAATACATTTTAGTATGTATTAAATTATGTGATACTTTTAAATAATTGAATAAAGTAAGCCCTCAGTTATATACATAACTAGTTACTAGTTTTGTTACATTAGGAGAAAGAAAAGAAAAAGTATGTGTATACATATTCATTTGGACAGGTAGAAGAGAAGAGCATCACTTGTTTTAATCACAGAAATGAAGTGTAAAACATTGAAAATCTCTTAAATACAGCATTCACAGTAATCCATACTGTCGGGAAAACTATCAGAACTTGGCCTCTCTTTGCCAACCCTTATGAATACTTGCCACCAATACTTGTTTAAGCTTTCTGAGCCATAAACTTAACTTTTCCTCCTTTCAGAAGCCCAGAATTCATAAATGACACTTTTTTGAAAACCACAAATAGTTAATATACCTGTTATTGAAATCATCAGATGTCTCTGCAAATTCTAGTCTTTATAAACAAGGAATTCTGAACCACTCTTGAAAGTTTGCCTTCCCTGAGGAAAATCACACTGGAGGAGAGGCAATGATGTTGTATTTGTTCCTTAGAATTTCAGTGTGGAATGGTACAGTCTAGGAGGTGTGTGTGTGTGTGTGTCTGTGTGTTTTTCTGTGTGTCTCTGTGTGTGTGTATTCGTGATATCACTTACACAATTGCAGGAACCCTGAGATAAGAATTCGAATTTTTATTTTATTTATTTATTGGAGAGGGAGAGAGTGAGCAGGCAGAGAGGCCGAGGGAGAGGGAGAAACAGAGTCACCACTGAGCAAGGAGCCCAATGTGGGGCTCAATCCCAGGACCCTGGGATCATGACCTGAGCTGAAGGCAGACGCTTAACCAGCTAAGCCAGCCAGGCAGCCTTCACAGTTCGATTTTTTTATGACTTTGTAGATCACTCTCCAAATTGTCTGAGTTGGTTCAAGTGGCCATTGGATGGGTAGCCACTTTTTCCTCACTCTAGGAATATTCCTCCAG